GCTCTATGCAAATAAAGTAGAAAACTTAGAAGAAATGGATAAATTCTTGGATGCATATACCCTCCCAAGATTGAACCACGAAGAAGCTGAATCCCTGAATAGACCAATAACAAGTTCTGAAACTGAAGCAGTAATAAATAGCCTACCAACCAAAAAAAGCCCAGATCCATAGGGATTCACAGCTGAATTCTACCAGAGGTGCAAAGAGGAGCTGGTACCACTTATTCTAAAACTATTCTAAACAATTGAAAAGGAGAGACACTTCCTTAAATCATTTTGAGGCCAGCATCATCCTGATACCAAAGCCTGGCAGATATACAACAAAAAAGAAAACTTTAGGCCAATAGCCCTGATGAACATTGATGTGAAAATCCTCGATATAATACTGGCAAACCGAATCCAGCAGCTTCAAAAAACTTATCCACCACAATAAAGTTGCCTTCATCCCTGGGATGCAAGGCTAGTTCAACATATGCAAATCAATAAATGTAATTCCTCACATAGACAGAACTAAAGACAAAAACAACATGATTATTTCAATTAATGTAGAACATGCCTTCAATAAAATTCAACATCCCTTCATGTTAAAATCTCTCAATAAACTAAGTATTGAATAACATACCTCAATAAGGGCCATTTATAACAAACCCAAAGCCTATATCATACTGAATGGGCAAGAGCTGGAAGGATTCCCCTTGAAAACTGGCACAAGACAAAGATGCCCCCTCTCATCACTCTTATTCAATATAGTGTTGGAATTTCTAGCCAGGGCAATCAGGCAAGAGAAAGAAATAAATTGTATTTAAATAGGAAGAGAGGAAGTCACATTGTCTTTGTTTGCAGATGATATGATCCTGTATCTAGAAAACCCTATTGACTCAGCCCAAAAGCTTCTGACACTGATAAGCCACTTAAGCAAAACAAAAATAAAAAACAACAAAAACAAAACAATCTATAGAAATCACAAATCCTATACACCAACAACAGACAAGCAGAGAGCCAAATGATGAATGAAATCCCATTCACAACCGCCACAAAGAGAATAAAATACCTCGGAACACAACTTACAAGGGAAGGGAAGGGTGTCTTCAAGGACAACTACAAACCACTTTCTGAAGGAAATAAGAGGGGACACAAGCAAATGGAAAAACATTCCATTCTCCTGGATAGGACAAATCAATATCTTAAAAATGATAATACTGCCCAAAGCAATTTATAGATTCAATACTATTTCCATTAAACTACCATTGATATTTGTCACAAAATTAGAAAAAAAAACTATTTATATTGAACAGACAAGAGCTCATATAGCCAAGACAATCCTAAGCAAAAAGAGCAAAGCTGGAGGCATTACGCTACCCAACTTCAAACTATACTACAAGCCTGCAGTAACCAAAACAACATGGTACTGGTACAAAAACAGGCACATAGACCAATGGAACAGAATAGAGAACACAGAAATAAAACTGGACATCTACAACCATCTGATTTCAACAAACTGACAAAAACAAGCAATGGGGAAAAAACTCCCTATTTAATAAATGATGCTGGGAGAACTGGCTAGCAATATGCAGAAGCTGGATCCCTTCCTTATATCTTTTACAAAAATTACCTGTAGATGGATTAAAGACTTAAATGTGAAACCTAAAACTATAAAAACTGTAAAAGAAAACATAGGAAATATCATTCAGGACATAGGCATGGGCAAAGATTTGTGATGCAATTGCCAAAAGCAATTGCAACAAAAGCAAAAAATAACAAATGAGATCTAATTAAATTAGAGAGCTTCTGCACAGAAAATGAAACTATCATCAGAGTAAACAGACAACCCACCATGCAAGAACATTTTTGCAACCTACCCATCTGACAAAGGTCTAATATTCAAAATCTACAAGGAACTTAAGCAAATTTACAAGAAAAAAACAAATAATGCAATTAAAAATTGGGAAAGCGATATGAACAGACATATCTCAAAAAAAAATCACATATATATAGCCAAAAACACAAAAAGCTCTACATCACTGATCATTAGAGAAATGTGAATTGAAACCACAATGAGATACCATCTCATGCCAGTCAGAATGGCAATTATGAAAAAGTCAAGAAACAACAGATGCTGGGGAGGTTGCAGAGAAATAGGAATGCTTTTAACACTGTTGGTGGGAATGTAAATTATTTAGACCATCGTGGAAGACAATGTGGTGATTTCTCAGAGATTTAGAACTGGAAATACCATTTAGCTCAGCAATTTCATTACTGGTCATATACCCAAAGAAATACAAATTATTATATTATAAAGATAACTGCATACATATGTTTATTACAGCACGATTCACAATAGCAAAGACATAGCATCAGCCCAAATGCCCATCAATGATAGACTAGATAAAGAAAATATGGCACATATACAACATGGAGTACTATGCAGCCATAAAAAGGAATGAGATCATATTTGCAGGGACACAGATGAAGCCAGAAGCCATTATCCTCAGCAAATTAGCACAGGAACAGAAAAACAAACACTGCATGTTCTCATTTATAAGTGGGAGCTGAATAACAAGAACACATGGACACAGGGAGGGGAGCAACACTTACTGGGGCCTGTCAGTGGAGAGTGGTTGGGAGGAGAGTATTAGGGAAAAGAGTTGATGTATTCTGGGCTTAATATGTAGATGACGGGTTGTTAGGTGCAGCAAACCACTATGCCACACATTTACATATGTAACAAACCTGTACGTGTACTCCAGAATTAAAAAAATATATATAAAATAATTTTTTAAAAAGTGAAAAAAAGGATGCTGCCAAGGTGGCGGAGAAAAAGGAACATATACTGTTGTTGGAGTGTAAATTAGTTCAACCATTGTGGAAGACAGTGCAGTGATTCCTCAAAAACCTAAAGACAGAAATATTTGACCCAGCAATCCCATTACTGGTTATATATCAAAAGGAATATAAATCAACGTATCATAAAGACACATGCATGTGTATGTTCATTGCAACACTATTCACAATAACCGATACATGGAACCAACAAAAATACACCTCAGTGATAGATTTGATAAAGAAAATGTGGTACATTTATCTTTATACTATGGAATATTAAGCAGACATTAAAAAGAAATGAGATCATCATGTCCTTTGCAGGGACATGAATGGAACGAGAGGCTCTTATTTTTAGCAAATTAACTCAGGAACAGAAAACCATGTTCTCATTGTAAGTGGGAGCTAAATGATGAAAACTCATGTACACGTAGAGGGGAACAACACACACTGGGGCCTACCTGAGGGTGGAGGGTGGAACGAGGGAGAGTATCGGGAAAAATATGGGTACTAGGCTTAATACCTGAGTGACAAAATAATCTGCACAACAAAGCCCCATGACACAAGTTTACCTATGTAACAAACCTGTACATGTAGCCCTGAACTTAAAATAAAAGTAAAAAAAAACATAAAACTTCGTTTTTATTATTTGCATATTATTTTCCCTATTCAATCAGATGTTTGTTACTTTTAATAAAATACTACCTTTGTTTCACCAAATTTAAACAATGTCTCTCCACTCCCCCAAGAAGATAATATGAACTCATCTATTCTTCCCTCTGTTTTCTCCATCTTTCCTTCTTTCAACTTCTGCCAGGTAGATAACATTTACTTTCTATATTTGCTTATACAGATTACTGAACTACAGAGTATGTGTGCTGCTCAAGGGTTTAAAAAGTCCAGGAGTTTTGGATGTTGAACTTTCAAAGGTGAGGGGGCTGTTGAGTGGAGAAAATCCAAAAATGAGGACAATGTGGTGCTATTTCTATCCCCTATTTTTATTTCTATTTCTGCCTTTCCCTTTTCTTTTCCCATTCCTCACTCTACAACATTTCTTCTCTTTTCAAGCCCTCTTATCCCATCCTCAGCCAAAACACCTCTAGAAAAGTTTAAAATCTCTTCATACAGAAACCCCACCTTCTAACCAACTGTTTCTTCCACACAGACACCCCACCTCCTAACCAATTGTTTCTTCATCACATGAGGAGATGAATGATATTTCCAGGCAGGGCCTTGGGTCCTAGCTGCTCCCCAATATCTGAAACAACTTCAGAAAAATATGTGCTGTATGTAAGATAACAAATGAGTAATTTCTTTAACATGTAAAAAGTTCCTACAAATAAACCAGGTGTTTTCTGACCATCCTATTTAAAGTGGACTGTTATCATATCAACCTATTCACCTGCCATAGTATGTTTATATACTGGATTATTTGTTAATTGCATGTTCCTCTTTGCTCTTATGTAAACTCCATGAGGATAGAGATTTGGACACATTTATTTCCAGTGGCTAGAACCTATTAGGGTAAAGAAAATAAATAAGCTATTTATTTAAAAAATCCAAACAAGAGCATATTAAAATTATTGAAATGCAGTATATATTTGAACATTGAGTATATTTGAATATATATGAATTCTTGAATATTTTAATAACTTTTTAGCTTCCTAAAATGGAAATATTTTTAAAAGATAGTTTCCTGTATGAAAAAATGGTAAGGAAATAATGGTATTCTAGAGAAGTAATTATTGTGGCAGCAAATATTAGTAAAATCTTTAGGCATTCAAAAGCTTCAACATTTTTTCATAATATTTGACCTAAGGTTTAATCTCTGGGAATTTCCTGGGTTAATACTCATGGGTGATTGCAGTGGTGTAATTTAATTAGTATTCATTGGAGAACTGCTCAGAATGTAAAATGAAAAAAAAAACACATAACAAAGGGGAATAATTAAATAAATGATAGTACATTCGTTCAGTGAAATTCTAGGCAACTGTCACAAAATCCAGTAGCAAATATTTAATGATCACAAACAATTTCATAATATATGTGTACCACTAGGTTGTATACCAGTCATTCACTCCTTTCTCATTTTTACATTAGAAACAGGCATAAGTAGTCAACACACACACACACACACACACACACACACACACACACACACACAAAGTATGGCTATATAATACTGGGGAATAACTACCAAAACTTGAAGCCAGAGGTTAGTAACTGCCAATAATTTTTATGAATTTTTAGATGCAATCTCAAAATTTTAGAATGAGCATGTATGCTTTTTGTAAGAAACACTACTAAAAGAATAACAATGTTCTAAAAACAAAATTGTATTTTATTGGCCCTGAAAATGTCAAGTTAGTTTTTCTGGAATCAAGCATTAAGTCTGTTTGATGAACTCAATCGTATCTGGCGTATGAGTACTTTTCGTGGACTCTGGATCAGCTTCTGTGTTTGTGTTATTTGTAATAGACAGGCTTATCTCCTCTGTACTTTCACATTATTTTTGCTATTGTTTTCTGCTTGACATGATGCTACTAATCTCTTCTGAGACTGCTTCTGAAACCAAAAGCTGAGAAAAGAGACCAGACTGCTGATTCCTTCGTGTTTCCCTTGGTTTCACCTTGTTGGTGAGGTATGGCATAAAGGGTTTTTCTTTGTAACAGCATTATTTTGCAGCTCTTAGATTGCTTCAGACAAAATCCTAAACCAAACACAGGCATGTAGAGAAAATTTATAGGAAGAACACTGGGCAGTCTCACTAGGCTGAAGAGGGTGCTGTGGATCAAAATCTGGGAAAAGCAGATACAAAAATGCCACAGATATGACCAAGGGATTCAAATCTGACCAGGATTCAATCTCCATATCCTACCCTGAGTTTCTTTTAACTGTAGCTTCATCTCTTTCCTAATACAGAAGTTTTGCCCCTTTTTAGGCTTAGTTTGGATTAGGTTTCTGTCCTTGTTATCCAAGGGCTCTTGCTAATGCTCAATATTTATAAGGTTTCATAGTCATTTAAAAAATAATTGATTTATTCTGATAATGTCATTTATAATACATCTATTAACCACATGTATTATTGCAGTTTTCAAGTCCTTAAGACTAATTTAGTGCTTATACACTCACTTGTTATATACTGAGAAATGTAAATTCCCTAAAACACTAATCTTTTATCAGTATTTACTTTTATAATTATGAATACCTGAATATTATAATGTTTTCATTTGTGGTATATTAACATTTATAACATTTATATGTACACTAGGTGTGTCTGGTGTAATGTATCCTATCTTGTGTATTCTATGAAAAAAATCATAGTTTTAAAAAATACTGCTAAACTTTCTATAATTATGTATTTATTTTATTGTCAATTCAATTAAAAATTCATTTTACTTAGATGAAACACTAGATAAGCCCAAGGATCAAATGTTCTTAAAAAGCAACATGTAGGGGATTCCTCTAAGATGGCTGAATAGGAACAGCTCCAGAGTGCAACTCCCAGTGAGAGAGACACATAAGGAGAGTGATCTCTGCATTTCCAATCGAGGTACCTGGTTCATTTCAATGGGACTGGCTGGACAGTGGGTGTAGCCCAAGGAGGGTAAACTGTGGCAGGGTGGGGTGCTGCCTCACCCAGGAAGTGCGACTGATAAGAGAATTGGAGACATCCTCCCAGCCCTGCACTCTGGTTCAGATACTGTAATCTCCCATGCCCTCTGTAACCCACAGACCAGGATATCCCCGCTGGGCTGAAAAGCACCGTGAGTTACCAACACAGATCTGAGTGGCAGCTCTGGCTATGCCATGGGCTGTTGGCACAGATCTGGGTGAATGTTTTGACTAGCACCAAGAGCGCCTGCAGGACCGAGCTACCTGCTCCCCAGAAAGAGGAGGAGCTGAAAGCAGGGAGACAGGTGATACAGCTGGGCAGGTCCCACCTGCAAAAAGACCAGCAAACTGAAGCCCTCTCACTTGAGAGTTTTGCAGCCAGCACATCAGTTCAAACTCGACCCAGGACAATCAAGCTCAGTGGTGGGGAAGGGCGTCTGCCATTGCTGAGACTGGTCTAAACCTACCTGTGTAAACAAAAGCCATAGGAAGCTTACACGGCAGCTGGACTCAGTCTGTGAGGGTGTAGCAGTGCCTCTGCAGGCAGACAAGGGGCAAACTGCCTCCTCAAGCAGCTGCCTGACCCCTGTATAACCAAAAAGACGCATCATACAGGAAAGCTCTGGCTGTCACCTGGCAGGTACCCTTCTGGGATGAAGATACCAGAGGAAAGATCAGGCAGCAATACTTGCTGATCTGTAATCCCCACAGGTGATTCCCAGGCAAGCAAGGTATAGAGTGGACCTTGAGCAGTCCTATAGCAGAGGGACCTGACTGTTAGAAGAAAAACTAAAAAACAGAAAGAAATAGTTTCAACATCAACAGAAAGGACATCCACTCAGAAACCCTATCTGAAATCACCAACTTCAAAGATCAAAGGTAGATAAATTCAAGAAGATGGGAAGAAACCAGCACAGAAAGGACGAAATCATCAAAGACCAGAACACCTCTCCTCCTCCAAGGGATCACAAGTCCTCACCAGCAAGGGAACAAAACTGGATGGAGAATGAGTTTGACTAATTGACAGAAACAGGCTTCAGAAGGTGGGTAATAACAAACTTCTCTGAGCTAAAGGAACATGTTCTAATCCAATGCAAAGAAACTAAAAATCTTGAAAAAAGATAGATGAAATGCTGCTTAGAATAACCAACTTAGAGAGGAACATAAACAACTTGATGGAGCTGAAAAACACAGCACAAAAACTTCGACAAGCATACGCAAGTTCCAATAGCCAAATCAATCAAGCAGAAGAAAGGATATTAGAGATTGAAGATCACCTCAATGAAATAAAATGAGAAGGCAAGATTAGAGAAAAAAGAGTAAAAATAAATGAACAAAGCCTCCAAGAAATATGGGATTATGTGAAAAGACCTAATCTACATTTGATAGGTGTACCTGAATGTGACGGAGAGAATAAATCCAAGCTGGAAAACACTCTTAAGGATATTATCCAGGAGAACTTCCCTAACGTAGCAAGGCAGGCCAACATTGAAGTCTAGGAAATACAGAGAACACCACAAAGATATTCTTAAAGAACAGCAACCCCAAAGCACATAATTGTCAGATTCACCTGGGTTAAAATAAAGGAAAAAATGCTAAGCGCAGCCAGAGAGAAAGGACAGGCTACCCACAAAGGGAAGCCCATCGGACGCACAGCAGATCTCTCGGCAGAAACCCTACAAGGCAGAAGAGAGTGGGGGCCAATAAAGAACTTTCAACCTATAATTTCATATCCAGCCAAACTAAGCTTCATAAGCGAAGGAGAAATAAATCGTTTACAAACAAGCAATTGCTGAGAGATTTCATTACCACTAGACCTGCCTTTTAAGAGCTTCTGAAGGAAACACTAAACATGGAAAGGAACAATCAGTACCAGCCACTCCAAAAATGTACCAAATGGTAAAGACCAATGACACAATGAAGAAACTGCATCAACTAACAGGCCAAACACCCAGCCAGTAACAAAATGACAGGATCAAATTAACACATAACAATATTAACCTTAAATGTAAATGGCCTAAATGTCCCAATAAAAAAAGACACAGACTGGTAAACTGGATAAAAAGTCAAGACCCATTGGTGTGTTGTATTCAGAAGACCCATCTCACATGCAAAAACACACAGACTTAAAATAAAGGGATGGAAGAAGACTTACCAAGCAAATGGAGTGCAAAAAAAGCAGGGAGTGCAATCCTAGTCTCTGATAAAATAAACTTTAAACCAACGAAGAACAAAAGAGACAAAGAAGGACATTACATAATGGTATAAGGATCAATACAACAAGAGGAGTTAACTATCCTAAATATATATGCACACAGTACAGGAGCACCCAGATACATAAAGCAAGTTCTTACTGACCTACAAGGAGACAGAGACTCCCGCACAATAACAGTGGGAAACTTTAACACTCCACTGTCAAAATTAGACAGATCAACCAGACAGAAAATTAACAAGGATATCCAGGACTTGAACTCAGACCTGGACCACATAATTGGAAGTAAATCACTCCTCAGCAAATGCAAAAGAATGGAAATCATAACAAACCATCTCTCAGATGACAGTGCAGTCAAATTGGAACTCAGGATTAAGAAACTCACCCAAACCACTCAACTACATGGAAACGGAACAACTTGCTCCTGAATTACCACTGGATGAACAACGAAATGAAGGCAGAAATAAAGATGTTATTCAAAACCAACAAGAACAAAGACACAACATACTGGAATCTCTGGGATACATTTAAAGCTATGTCTAGATGGAAATTTATAGCAATAAATGCCCACATGAGAAGCAAAGAAAGATCTAAAATCATCAAAATTGAAAGAGCTAGAGGAGCAAGGTCAAAAAAAAGTCAAAGGATAGCAAAAGACAAGAAATAACTAAGATCAGAGCATAACTAAAGGAGATAGAGACACAAAAAAACCCTTAAAAAATCAATAAATCCAGGAGCTGGTTTTTTTGAAAAGATCAACAAAATAGACAGACTGCTAGCCAGAATAGTAAGAAAGAAAAGAGAGAAGAATCGAATAGATGCAATAAAAAATGATAAAGGGGATATCACCACCGATTCCGCAGAAATACAAACTACCATCAGAGATTACTACAAAAAACTCTATGCGCATAACCAGTAAACCTGGAAGAAATGGATAAATTCCTGGACAGTTACACCCTCCCAAGCCTAAACCAGGAAGAAGTTGAATCCCTGAATAGACCAATAACATGGTATGAAGTAGAAGCAGTGATTAATAGCCTACCAACCAAAAAAAGTCCAGGTCCAGACGGGTTACAGCTGAATTCTACCAGACATACAAAGAGGAGCTGGTACCATCCCTTCTGTAACTATTCCAAAGTATATAAAAAGAGGGAATCCTCTGTAACTGGTTTTATGAGATAATCATACATAGTACATTAAACTAAAACATGCATATAATGTCAGAGAACATGCTTATAATCAAGAACTGTATTCTCACATTGGACTATAATACATTAAATCCAAATAGTACATACAAACATTTTCCCCACAGATATTGTACAGCCCATGAAATCATTGATTGTACATTTGTACATTAAGTCATTGGTCGGACATAGCGCATTCTATTTCTTCAGTCCTTCTAACCATGGATATCCCCTCGTTATGTTTGGTCTCTTAATCCACCATCCTCTGTGAAACCACCAACTCGCCCATATCTGCGGCTCTTCTCACTCCGGGCCCATATAGACAGGGCTTGGTTATACTGAAACTATACCTGGCTTTTGGTTCCTACTTCAGGGCCATTCCACTAAGATTGTGTCCACGTTCCCCTTAAATAAGACATCACGATGGTGTGGCGCTATCACCCTCTTAACCGCGTCACTGGATGCATGGGTGCCTGGGTGGAAAAAGGGGGTGGGAATCCTCAGCATTGCCGTAGGCTCCGGTAGGAGTCCTGCCCCCGGTCCTGTGGGACCTGGATGTGCTTTGCCATACCTTATGCTATCATCGCACCTATATTGAATGTCTTGGCCCCCATCCCGACCACTAAGGTGTTATTCAGTCAATGGTTACAGGACATAATAAATAATTAACCGGTACTTTACCCAAATTTTAACCCGCCAACCTTCAACCCAACTTACATTTTCTGAGGCAGGTGTCATAAAGAGACATTTTACCACTAACATTAACTATTTTACAAAACCAATAAACTGAAAAATATATACACCCCACAACACCCACATTTATTAGTATGGTACTGTACATAATTACTTCTCACACACCTCAAATGCTGCCCTTCAGAAAACATATCTACATTATACAGTAATAAATTAAACCTTAAATCCACATAACCTACCACTATAGACCCATATTAAGTCCCAATCAGGTTAATGTAGCTTAATACTTAAAGCAAGACACTGAAAATGTCTAGATGGGTAATTATTACCCCATAAACACATAGGTTTGGTCCTAGCCTTTCTATTAGCCCTCAGTGAGATTACACATGCAAGCATCCGCAGCCCTGTGAGAATGCCCTCTAGAACACCAGAACATGAGGAGCGAGTATCAAGCACGCATATACGCAGCTCAAAACGCTTTGCTTAGCCATGCCCCCACGGGAAACAGCAGTGACAAACTTTTAGCAATAAACGAAAGTTTAACTAAGCTACACTGATAATAGAGTTGGTCAATTTCGTGCCAGCCACCGCGGCCATACGATTGACTCAAGTTAATAGAACACCCGCGTAAAGAGTGTTTAAGGTCTTATCTTCAATAAAGCTAACCTATAACTAAGTCATAGAAAACCCCAGTTATAGTGAAGTACCCTATGAAAGTGGCTCTAATGCTCCTGAATACACTATAGCTAAGGCACCAACTGGGATTAGATACCCCACTAGGCTTAGCCCTAAACCCCAATAACTCCACTAACAAAATTATTCACCAGAACACTACCAGCAATAGCTTGAAACTCAAAGGACCTGGTGGTGCTTTACATCCGTCTAGAGGAGTCTGTTCTGTAATCGATATACCCCGATAAACCTTACCACCTCTTGCCCTCAGCCTGTATACCGCCATCTTCAGCAAACTCCCTAAAGATCATAAAGTAAGCAAAAGTATCACCATAAAAACGTTAGGTCAAGGTGCAGCCAATGAAGTGGGAAGAAATGGGCTACATATTCTAAGCTAGAAAAATTACATGATAGCCTTTATGAAATTTAAAGGCCCAAGGTGGATTTAGCAGTAAATCAAGAATAGAGAGCTTGATTGAAGCAAGGCCATTAAGCACGCACACACCGCCCGTCACCCTCCTCAACCATCATATAAATGTATATTAACAATAAGCCACTACATATTGATGTAGAGGGGATAAGTCGTAACATGGTAAGCGTACTGGAAAGTGCGCTTGGATGAATCAAAGTGTAGCTTAAATTAAAGCATCCAGCCTACACCCGGAAGATCTCACAATAATTGATCACTTTGAGCTAACCCTAGCCCGAATCCCCACTTATTTATACTATCTAAATTCAACAACTAAATCATTTACCTACTATAAAAGTATAGGTGATAGAAATTATGCCCAGGCGCAATAGATATGTACCATAAGGGAAAGACAAAACCCCAATAAAGCATAAAAAAGCAAAGACAAACCCTTATACCTTCTGCATAATGAATTAACTAGAAATAGCTTTATATAGAGAATTTAAACAGAGCTCCCCGAAACCAGACGAGCTACCCAAAGATAGCTAAAAGAGCGCACCCGTCTATGTAGCAAAATAGTGGGAAAATCTATGGGTAGTGGCGACAAACCTACCGAGCCTGGTGATAGCTGGTTGTCCAAGACAGAATCTTAGTTCAACCTTAAATTTACTTACAGAACCATTTAATCCCCTCGTGAATTTAATTGTTAGTCTAAAGAGGGACAGCTCTTTAGACCCTAGGAAAAAACCTTACTATAGAGAGTAAAATATTTCATCACCATAGTTGGCCTAAAAGCAGTCATCAATTAAGAAAGCGTTCAAGCTCAATACTTACCCATCCCTAATTCTATTAATTTCACTCAACTCCTAAAACACATTGGACCAATCTATTATCTAATAGAAGCAATAATGTTAGTATAAGTAACATGAAATTATTCTCCCCGCATAAGCTTATCTCATACCGAAACAACTACTGCTAGTTAACAGTCTAATCATTATATTCTACAACTTAACACATCATTAACTAAACTGTTGACCCATATCATCATCCTGATATGAAAACCAGGCAGAGACATAACTAAAAAAGAAAATTTCAGGTCAATATCTATGATGAACATCAATGCAAAAATCTTAAAATACTGGCAAACCAAATGCAACAGCACATTAAAAAGCTTATCCATCACTATCAGGTAGGCTTCATCTGGGCACACAAGGCTGCTTCAACATTTGCAAATCTATAGATGAAATCCATCACATAAACAGAACCAAAGACAAAAACCACATGATTATCTGAAAAGAGGCATAGAAGGCCTTGACAAAATTCAACAGCTCTTTATGCTAAAAACTCCCAATAAACTAGGTATTGATGGAAGGTATCTGAAAACTGTAAAAGCTATTTACAAAAAACCCACAGACAATATCATACTGAACAGGCAAAAACTGCGACCATTCTCTTTGAAAACTGGCACTAGGCAAGGATGCACTCTCTCACCATTCCTATTCAATATAGTATTGATAGTTCTAGCCAGAGCAATCAGGCAAGAAAAAGAAATAAAGGGTATTCAATTAGGAAAAAGGGAAGTTGAATTGTCTCTATCTTCAGATGACATAATTGCATATTTAGAAGACCCCATCGTCTCAGTCCAAAATCTCTTTAAGATGATAAACAACTTCAGCAAAGTCTCAGGATACAAAATCAGTGTGCAGAAATCACAAGCATTCCTGTACACCAATAACAGGCTAAAAGAGAGCCAAATCATGAGCAAACTCCCATTCACAATTGCTACAAAGAGAATAAAGTAACTAGGAATACAACTAACAAAGGATGTGAAGGACTTCTTCAAGGAAAACTACAAACCACTGCTCAAGAAAATAAGAGAGGACACAAAGAGATGGAAAAACATTCCATGCTCATGGTTAGGAAGAATCAATACCATGAAAATGGCCACACTGCCTCAAGTAATTCATAGAGTCAATGCTATCCCCATCAAGCTACCATTGACCTTCTTCATAGAACTGGAAAAAAACACCTTAAACTTCATATGGAACCAAAAGAGAGCCCACATAGCCAAGACAATCCTAAGCAAAAAGAACAAAGCTGGAGGCATCATGCTACCTGACTTCAAACTACACTACAGCACTACAGTAATCAAAACAGCATGGTACTCATACCAAAACAGAGATATAGATTGATGGAACAGGACAGAGTCCTTGGAAGTAACACCACACATCTACAATCATTTGATCTTTGACAAACAAACCTGACAAAAACAAGCAATGGGGAAAGGATTCCCTGTTTAATAAATGGTTTTGGGAGAACTGGCTAGCCATGTGATGAAAACAGAAACTGGACCCCTTCCTGACACCTTACACTAAAATTAACTCCAGATGGATTAATGATTTAAACATAAGACCTGACACCATAAAAACCCTACAAGAAAACCTAGGCAAAATCATTCAGGACATAGGCATAGGAAAGACTTCATGACTATAAGACCAAAAGCATTGGCAACAAAAGCCAAAATAGAGACATGGGATATAATTAAACTCCAGAGTTTCTGCACAGCAAAAGAAACAATCATCAGGTGAACTGGTAACCAACAGAATGGGAAAAAAATTTTGCAATCTACCCATGTGACAAAGGGCGAATATAGAGAATCTATAAAGAACTAAAGCAGATTTACAAGAAAAAAACAAACCAACCCATTCAAAAGTGGGCGAAGGATATGAAAAGACAATTTTCAAAAGAAGACATTTTTGAGGCCAACAAACATATGAAAAAATGCTCATCAACAGTGGTCATTAGAGAAATGCAAATCAATACCACATTCAGATACCATCTCACACCAGTTAGAATGGCGATCATTAAAAAATCAGAAGATAACAGATGCTGGGGAGGATGTGGAGAAATAGGAACACTTTTACACTGTTGGTGGGAGTGTAAATTAGTTCAGTCATTGTGGAATACAGTGTGGCGATTCCTCAAGGATCTAGAAATAGAAATTCCATTTGAACCAGCAATCCCATTACTGGGTATATACCCAAAGGATTATAAATCATTGTATTATAAAGACACATGCACACACATGTTCATTGTGACAGTGTTTACAATAGCAAAGACCTGGAACCAACCCAAATGCCCATCAGTGGTAGACTGGACAAAGAAAATGTGGCACATATACACCATGGAATACTATGCAGCCATAAGAAAGGATGAGTTCATGTTCTTTGCAGGGACATGGATGAATGTGGAAACCATCATTCTCAGTAAACTGACACAAGAACAGAAAACGAAACAATGCATGTTCTCACTCATAGGCCGGTGTTGAACAATGAGAACACATGGGCATGAGGAGTGGAATGTCACACACTGGGGTCTGTTGGGGAGTGGGGGTCAAGGGGAGAGACAGCAGGGGATGGGGAGGTTGGGGAGGGATAACAGTGGGAGAAAGGACTGATGTAGATGATGGGGAGATGGAGATGGCAAATCACCATGGCAGATGTGTACCTATGCAACAATCCTTCAAGATCTGCGCATGTACCTCAGAACTTAAAGTACAATTAAAAAAAACAGAAATTGCCCATATATTGAATAATATAACTAATGATTCTATAGATATTAAGAAGATAATAAAATATTTTTAAAAAGCAACGTGGTTTTACATGAATAAATACATGTCATGGAAAGGTACAAGTGAATTCTGTGAGCCCTGTATTTTTGGTTTCTCAATGGAAATTTTAAAAGGAAACATACTGTAAATTTTTCATGTTTGAATATATGTAAAAGGCATATTTGTGGTAGCTGAGGTCAATAGTATGTGTCCAGTTAGAAAGGGCTTTATGTTCTTTGAAGAGCACATGGAAATGCACATTGTGCTTTTTTATTCTCTGCTTTCCAACACGTTAATCTTCACATGTTAATTATTCAAATTCTGCACTGATATTAGATAATTTATGATATCTCACTGTGGGTGAATCCAGTACCACATAGAAGTTTAGTGCCCTAACTCTAAAGGCAGATGGACTGTGTTCAAATTTAGCTTGTCTACATCTTAGCTGTAAAGTTTCCTTGGTGAATTACTTAGCTGGTGTGCACTTCATTTATCTCATGTGTTTGTTGGTGATAACTATAGTACCTCCTCATACAAATTTTGCAAAGACTCAGTGGGTTAAACATATAAAATCTTAGTCTCGCCCATAGCATATGGTTAAGTAAAGTTACGTATTACTTTTACTTCCTCAAATTATTGTTTTCCACACTCTCAGTGCATATTCATATGGTAGAGCTTCACTCCTGTATTGCAGTTTCTCACAAATTGCTCTGAACTCCTGCTTTATTAAGATTTCTTTTATGGTGTCTCAGATTTCTCACATACAAGTTGACAATTTATACTTGTTAAAACTTTTAAGATAGGATATGATATGATATGTACACACTTCAAAATTGATGAAACAACCTATCTCCTAGAGTCAACATGTACACATGAGAAGGAATAATTTAAGATTAGTAGATGCTAGTGATGTTGTTGGCTGGAATGATTGTGTGAAAACTATTCCTAGTTGCATCTTGGGGAAACACAGCAAGGTATTTTAGATTTTGAGATTATGAATGGTAACTTTTATCTGAAAATGTAAAAGAGCCCTCTTTCCCATGTTTCAATTTTTAATGTAATTAATTCTACTTCACTGATGTTAATATACTTTCCCTTGCTTCCTTTTTTCTTTGCATTCAAGTTACACATAGTTGCCCTACTTATTGTGTGTGTATATGTGTGTGTCTTATCATTTTTTTACTGTGGTAAAATGCACATGATGTAAAATTTACCATCTTATCCTTTTTTAAGTGGCAAAATTCAGTGGTATTAAATACATTCCTTCACTATCTTCCATCTCCAGAATTCTTTTCATCTTGCAAAATTAAAACTCAATACCCATGAAGCAATAATTGCCTAGTCCTCTCTCCTCCAAGCTCCTGGAAACCGCTATTTTACATTTGGAGTCTGTGATTTCGACTATTCTAAGTACTTCATATAAATGGAAACATAAACTATTGGTCTTTTTTTGATCCAGTTATTTTTGTGATTGGTTTATTGCATTTTGTGTGATTGGTTTAATTTACTCAAAGTTTATCCATGTTGTAGCAGATGTCAGAATTTCCAACCTGCTTCAGGCTAAAAAAAATTCCATTTTATGTGTGTACTAGATTTTACTTACCCATTTATCCATCAATGGACATTTGGGTTGCTTCCATGCTTTAGCTATTGGAGATAATGCTGCTCATTAACAGGAGTGTAACAAATTGCCTTGTTTTTCTTAATCAGTATAAATTATTCCCTTTGAAGTGAGTGTTTCAGTTTTGTCTTTAACCTCTGTTGAACTAGCCAAAAGTCTTTTTTAGTTTTCTGTCAGTACAGCCTTCCTAATTTTCTATTCTAAAACTCCAACTTCCACCTGTCTCCTCTCAGAGAAGGCCTCATCTCTGTTATCCAAATATAACGGAAATAACAGGTTTCCTCACATGCTTGTACCAAAATACAAAATAACTGCCTCCACAGTCATTTTTCCTACTTCTTTACTGCTGCAGTGGAGGAAGTGCCTCTCCTCCCACTTAACCTTATTCACTCAAACTCTATCTTGGACTCCTCTAAGTCATCCCACACACTAAATCAACTACCAAGTCCTCTGGGTTCTACTTTCCAGTCTTCTCAAATCCTTTTTATAGTCACAGCCATATTTGTCCCAGCTAGCATCATGTTACAGCAGATGTGTAGTCACCTGTCTGTTATGGCCATTGCCATAACACACCCAGGGGCCTAGGAGGAAAAAATAGTTTTGTAGGGTGGGCCCAGGGGCCTCCTGCTATGTGCATCCTAGCAACTTGGTGCCCTGCATCCCAGCTGCTCTAGCCATGGCTGAAAGGAGCCAAGGTACAGCTCTGGTCATGCTTCACAAGGTGCCAGCTCCAAGCCACAGCAGCTTCCACATGGTGTTGAGACTCTGGGTGCACAGAAGACAAGAATTAAGGTTTGGGAATCTCTGCTTAGATTTCAGAGGATGTGTGGACATGCCTGGATGTCTAGGCAGAAGTTTGCTGTAGGGGCAGAGCTCTCAACGAGAACCTGTGCTAGTGCAGTTCAGAAGGGAAATGTGGGGTCAGAGCCCCAAAATAGAGTCTCTACTGGGGTAAGGCCTAGTGGAGCTATGAGAAGAGGGCCACTTTCCTCCAGACCCAGAATGGTAGGTCCACTGACAGCCTGTACTGTGTGCCCAGAAAAGCTGTAGACAGTCAACTCCAGACCATGCAAACAGCCAGAAGGGAGGCTGTACTCTGCAAAGCCACAGGGGTGGAGATCCCCAATACCATGGGAACCCACCTCTTGCATCAGCATGACCTAGATGTGAGACATGGAATCAAAGGGGATCATTTTGAAACATTTACATTTGACTGCCCCTGGATTTTGGACTTGGATGGGGTTTTTAGCCCTTTTGTTTTGGCCAGTTTCTCTGATTTGGAGACATGGAATTTGCCAGTTTATCAGAAATAAAGTTAATGGACATTTCTTGTGCCTCAACAAATAAAGAACAAGGAAAGAGATCCCCATACCTGCCCAATTTTTATCTCTTCTCTTGGATTTCAGAACTTAATTAAAATATATTTTGTACCTGCTGTGTACCAGGCTTATTGCCAGATATTGAGAGAGACTTCAAATAAATAATTAAAAACTAAGGTAGGTATACAGACATTCAGAAGTTTATGACTGAGTTGTACAGTAAAACTAAAAATATAAGCATGGTTCTTTCTAGGATGGTGGCTTAGTTAAGAGCATTTCCTTTTCCTATGTCTTATTAAAATAATTATAACATGATCTTTTATAAAGCACATGTTTAACTTTTTCTAAAAGAACCAATTAGCAAACAGAAAATCTGGAGCAAAATTAAAAAATATTTACAATATAAAATGAGAGCAAAGCAGTCACAAAACAAAAGTAAATATAACACTTGAAGTATCTCTCAATTAAAAAACAATGTTTTAGAAAACAGTGACCAAGACAACCTTGATGTTCCCTTCAGCTTGACTAAACATTAGACAGGCTTTTTTCTGAAGTTAGGTCCCTGGCCTCCCTTTTCTTAGAGTATTTTATTCAGAAAACTTGTAAATTCTTTCTTTACTCTTTGACATGTAGATATTTCAAAAAGCCTTTTGCCACTTTTGTGACCCAGAAAGATTTTGGGGAATATCTCAAAGACCTCTAAAATGTAATCATCAAGAAAGATAATTCCCCTATGTTGCAGAATTTGTAAGCAGGTAGAAGCCTAATATCAGTGGATTTCTTACTCCAACTTGCAAAATTACCTTCCGTTATGAAGATATGAGAAAGTACTTTTCCTCTGAATAAGGCCAATTAGCAAACACCGATGGCCTACAATTTCCCTGATCCTAGCTTTTTAAAAATAGACTTGAATTAAGTCTTCCTTGCTTATTTAATATTGGCTGGTGTTATTTTTGTTTCAAAAACATGTATTATCTATGTTCTGTGATATTAAATATCTAAGTTATATCAAATAAGAAAAACCTGGCATTAAAAAAGAACAAAATAATTTTTTTAAAAAAGAAAAGCACACAGATCAAGTAAGATCATGGTGGAAAGTAAGAACAGTCATATTTCAGTGCATCTGTGGGTAATGTAATGGGATGTGGGGAGTGGCTATGACATGGATTGTTAGCAAAATGCCATTTAAGTTCTAATAAATATTTTCTTTTCAGAAACATCCTATTTGCCCTTGTAACTGTAGAGAGTCCTGAACAACGGGAGAGATTTCCACTAATACACTAAAATTTAACATGTAGGAAAAGGAGTTCTGATCTACCACCCTAATCCCAAACATATAAAATACAAACAACAAAAACAACAATCAAAAATGAACAGGAGAAGAAATAAAACATAACTGAAGATATAAGAAATTACAGAAGAGTTGAAATTAGTAAACATAAGGTTTCATACTTTTTAAATTATACTTTAAGTTCTGAGGTACATGTGCAGATTGTGCGGGAATGTTACATAGGTATACACATGCCATGGTGGTTTGCTGTATTCATTAGGTATACCTAATGTAGGTGACTGGGGGATGAATACAGCAAACCACCATGGCATGTGTATACCTATGTAACAATCCCTCCCCAATCCCCCCACCCTCTGCATGACTGAGAACATGCAGTGTTTGGTTTTCTGTGTCAGTTTGCTGAGAATAATGGTTTCCAGCTTCATCCATGTCCCTGCAAAGGACATGAACTCATCCTTTTTTACTGTTGCATAGTCAACGTAAATAATACAAAGGTCAGTAAATACATAAAAGGAAAAACACAAACATAAAATTAAAAATAAGAATAAACATAATAATATATAGAAAGTCAACCAAAATAGTTTGTCTCTCTCAATTTCAGACTTAAAAGTCTTAATAAAACAATATAAAGTATCAACATTGACTCAAGGAGAAACATGAAAATATCCTATAAAGTCTGTTTCTTCTGCCTTTAAAATACCTAAAACAGGCAGATTTGGTGGTGCTTTCTTTTAAACATTGACAAAACCAAATAGCACCTTTGTTCTACAAGCTTTTCCAGAAAATATGACTTTAAGCATTCAAGAAGAGTTCAACATAGGAAAATCTCATAATAAAGTTAAATCCTCAATAGATTGAATAAGAAATTTTCTAATACTATTTTAAATATTCATTGATTCATTGTATTGAATAAAAAGCTTCTCTAAACAGAGAAGAGATTACGAAAAACTGTAATACACACTCTCGCCTCTCAGATGTGGAGAAGAAAACATATAAACATAAAATAATAACATTATAATTCAAAATAATAAAGGATTCATATAAAACATACATGTAATAGGAGCTCAGAAAGAGAGATAATTATACATCGTAAGATGATTTGGGCTGCATCATTTGACATTTCTCCGTAAGAGTCAAAAGATTCATATTGCCTACCCTAATAATCCACTGACGGGAAAAGTTGTTGCAGTTTATGCCTAAAAAGCATTGCTGTGCATGCATACAGGAAGACTTGTAGCATAATATAAACAGTGCAAAAATAGAGCAGGACATTTTAAGAGCATGTCTCACTGACCCAGACAATATTGAGAATTAGCAATAAGTGAAACTTTGCTAATTCCAGCCCTGTTACCTGCTACTTTGTCAATAGCGGTGTTTAGTGTCTAAGAAAATCCTCTCGGATATTCAATTCTCCATTGGTTGTTTGCATATTAGTCTAAATTTAATCACTAAGCAAATATTCCCAAAGGTTTAGTTCTGCTTATGAAATGAGATACTTTGTCTTTTATTAAAGCAGCGTAACATCAGAAATTAGATGGGAGATACATTTTGGGGAATATTTAGAGGAGGTAAAAGAATAGACATTTCTCTCCTTATGCACATGGTAAATGGCCTCTTCCTCGCCTGCCTGGGGAAGAAGATACACGGCTTAGTAGTAACAGTTTAGACTCTTAGGCAAGATGGCCTAGGCTCAAAGTCTAACTCCACCATTAATTAGCTGTGTAATATTGGATATATATTTTTTTATTTGTAACCATGATAACCTTGAATATTCTTAAAATCTTAATGTCTGTTTCCTTATCTGAAAAATGTGGTAAATAATAGAATTGGTAATATAGTTTACTTCTCAGTCTTCTGAGGATTCAATGAAGCAAAATGCTTAGAACAAACTTGGCAGAAACGAATCTCTTACAGAGAAGTAACAGTAATCCTAGTGATATCATTAGTAATGCTAGTTCACACATACTGTTCACACACACAGCATGATTAGCAGTAGTAATCCCCTACTCTCATACACTCTCCGAAACACTGATTGACATCCTACATGTACTTCTAATATGATGTGATCAAACACTAATGTGGACTTTAGTGCTTTCTTGCTGCCCACACAACAGCATTCTAGATGCTCTACAATAATTATTCCTCTTTGAAATGCTCTTTGAGAAGCATTTTGACATGTCTCTCTAGTTACCTGAGCATTTAATTAATACACACTGATGGGGTGGTTCTATCCTGAGTAACAGCTTCATTGCATCATGTGTTGTCAGGGAACACCAAGATAACCTCATCCCGTCTCACTAGATCGGCAGCCACGGGTGCTGGAGAAGCACTATTCTTTTACAGAACTATGCTTCTTTACATGCTGTGATCTGGCTTCAGAATAAAGAGCCCCCAAGCCCGCCTCTTCTAATTTGATGTTACCACGTGGTAGTGAAGATGGATCACAAAGGTAGCATAAAATGTTTGAGTTGAGGGCAGCCAGCTGTTTAGGGCTACTTATCTGCTTCCAGAAAAGACGCTATGGAGCTGCCCTCTTTTTTTCCTCACATACATACAACTTGATGAGATATTAACATTTAAATTACAGCACTCTATTTTTATTCTGTTCAAGAAGCTTTGAAATCCATTCTACTGTTTCAAATTGCCTTCTGGGGAAGCTTAATAATACCTCCAGCATTTTTTTGTGGTCTTTATCAACCTGGGTACCTGCTATCACTCCTCAAGTCCACAGAAGAGAATTTCATGATTGCTGATGCACTAGACTCTTGTTTGTCTAAATATCCCTCACATGTCTAATCTTCCAGGTAATTCTGTTTGACAACTTGGGCGAAATGAAAGGTAAAATATAAGCTGCCATCCTCTTATGAATTCCATGGGCACTGAAGTCCTCACCTAAACCTCTTGTTTTCTTCCTGTTGATGGGTCTGGAATCTGAGCACAAGATGCGCTTTTAATTAGCAAGTTGAAGAGGACAAAGCTACCCTGTCATTGAATCCATTAACAGCGATTGGAGAATACTGTTTCTTTCCTCTTTCTCTTTCTTCTTTCTTTCTTCCCTCCCTCCCTCCCCCCTCCCTCCCTCCTTCCTTCCTTCCTTCTTTCTCTTTCTTTCTTTTTTCTCTTTCTTCTTTCTTTTTCTTCCGTCCTTCCTTTCTTTTCTTTCTCTGTCTTTTTTATTTCTTTTTCTTTCTTTCTTTTTCTCTCTCCTTCCTTCCTCTCTCCCTCCCTCCCTTCTTTCCTTCTTTCCTTCTCTCTCTCTCTGTCTCTCTTTCTTTCTTCTTTCTCATCTTGCTCTGTTGCCTAGGCTAGAGTGCAGTGGTGCAATCTCCACTCACTGCAACCTCCACCTTCCAGGTCAAAGTGATTCTAGTGCTTCAGCCTCCTGAGTAGCTGGGATTACAGCACCCACAACCACACCCGGTTAATTTTTGTATTTTTAGTAGAGATGGGGATTTACCATCTTGGCCAGGCTGGTCTCAAACTACTGACCTTGTGATCCACCTACCTTGGCCTCCCAAATTGTTGTGATCACAGGTGTGAGTCACTGTGCCTGGCTGTTTTCTACTAAGAAAACCCCCCTGGTCCTGCTCACCACCATTATGACCACCTTCTGCCTTGCACACCCTGCCTCCTCTAGCTTTTCTTTTAAAACCCAGATCAGGCTCTCGATCCAAGTTGGCCATTTAGGAACAGCTCAGGATTGCAGCTCCCAGTGAAAACGCAGAGGGTGAGTGGACGCCGCATTTTTATTGCCCACAGACTAGGAAATTCCCAGGCGGAGGAACTCCACAGGTCACCAGCGCGGCTGTTTCGGCCAGCGTGGCTGTGTCAGCCGGCGCCGCTGCTTTGCCCCGCCCGGCTGCTTTGTCGGCGCCCCGGAGCAGCGGTTCTCCGTACAAAATACACCGGTCCGGGTGCCCTTTTGGCTGGCGATTGGAGCCACGGGAAGTCGTCCATTCGTCTGTTTAAAAAGGAGACTGTGCAGGGAACCAGGGCAGTAGATTCCAGGGCAAAAAAAAAAAAAAAAAGAGAAAAAGCACCACAGACCTCAGCGCCACTGTTTAAGCCAGCACAGTGAGTGGCCACAGGGGAAAACAAACAGACCCCAGCACCTCTTCAACAGGCGACTGGAACACCAACTTAAAAAAGGATCTGAGGCAGGGAGCCAGGTGATCAGGCTCGGCTGCTCCCACCCCCACAAAAGAACAGCAACCAGAAACTCTGGATTGAGAGTTTCACAGCAAGCGCAGCTGAACCCTGGACGGTCCAGCTCTGTGGGGAAGGGGCGTCCGCCATTAAAGAGGCAGCCCGCCACGACGGAGGTAGTCGGCCAATGCTGAGGCAGCCCGCCGTTGCCAAGGCAACCCGCCACCTCAGAGAGACTCCACCTCAACAGAGGCGGGCCACCAACGCCAAAGGAGTTCTAACTACACCCATATAAAGAGGACTGCAAGGAAGTTCACTGGGCAGCTGGGCGGAGCCCACAGCAGCTCAGCAAAGCCTCTACAGGGCGACAGTGACTAGGCTGCCTACTTACTGGGCAGGGCAGGTCTGAAGGAAAAAAAAAAGAAGGCAGCAGCATAATGGAAACTCATAAATAAAGCCCTAAATCCCTGGGACAGAGCACCTGGGAACAAAAAGCAGTTTATGAGTTCTGCTGCAACAGGCCTAAACGTACCTGCCCAGCAGCTCTGAATGAACAACAGAGCTTACAGCTCACCATTTGAGCTCCTATAAAGAAGAGACCGTCTCCTCAAGCAGTTCCCTGACCCCTATATATCCAAATAGATACCTCATAAAGGAGAGATCAGGTTGACACTAGGCGGGTATCCTTCTGGGACAAAGATAGCAGAAGAAGAAAACTGTTAACAACCCTTACTGTTCCGCAGCTGCTGCAGGTGAATCCCAGGCAAGCAGGGCCTGGAGTGAACCTCAGCAGACCTACAGCAGAGGGGCCAGACTGTCAGAAGGAAAACCAAGAAAAAGAAATAACCTCATCATCAACAAACAGAATGTCAATCTGAAAGATTTGAGACCCAATCTGAAAGCCAGCAACTACAAAGATGACAGGTGGATAAATCTTTAAAGATGGGAAGACACCAGCGCAAAAAGGATGAAAACACCCGAAACCAGAACACCTCTCCTCCTACAAGGGATCACAACTCCTCACCAGCAAGGGAACAAGGTTGGAGGGAGAACGAGTATGATGAAATGACAGAATCAGACTTCAGAAGGTGAGTAGTAAGAAACTTCTGTGAACTTAAAGAACATGTTCTAACCAAATGCAAAGAAACTAAGAACCTTGAAAAAAGGTTTGACGAAATGCTAACGAGAATGGACAAAATAGAAAGGCATATAGGTGAATTGATGGAGCTGAAAAACGCAACACGAGAACTTCGTGAAGCATGCACAAGTATCAACAGCCGAATTGACCAAGCAGAAGAAAGGATATCAGAGGTCGAAGAACAACTCAGTGAAATAAAATGGGAAGGCAAGACTAGAGAAAAAAGGGTAAAAAGGAATGAACAAAATCTCCAAGAAATGTGGGACTATGTGAAAAGACCTAATCTACGTTTGATAGGCGTACCTGAATGCGACGAAGACAATGAATCCAAGCTGGAAAATACTCTTCAGGATATTATCCAGGAAAACTTCCCCAACCTAGCAAGGCAGGCAAACATTCAAGTCCAGGAAATACAGAGAACACCACAAAGATATTCGTCAAGAAGAGCAACCCCAAGGCACATAACCATGAGATTCACCAGGGTTGAAATGAGGGAGAAAATACTAAGGGCAGCCAGAGAGAAAGGTCGGGTTACCCACAAAGGGAAGCCCATCAGACTCACAGCAGATCTCTCAGCAGAAACCCTACAAGCCAGAAGAGAGTAGGGACCAATATTCAACATCCTTAAAGAAAAGAACTTTCAACCCAGAATCTCCTGTCCAGCCAAACTAAGCTTCATAAGTGAAGGAAAAATAAAATCCTCTGGGAACATGCAAGTACTCAGATATTTCGTCACCACCAGGCCAGCTCTACAAGAGCTCCTGAAAGAGGCTCTACACATATAAAGGAACAACAAGTACCAGCTCAACTAAAGGGCAAAACACCCAGCTAGCACCAAAAATGGCAGTATCAAATTCACACATAACAATATTAACCCTAAATGTAAA